AATAAGAAGGATAATGTAACAATCAAAGGTTGGTGACGAAAGCCGTCCTCATCTGTAATAGGTTGGCCAACCACGCTATACATATTTCAAAGCTTGCTTCTCTGTGGGCCTTGCTCATGGGCTGCCCAGAGAAAAGGCTTTCATCGACAATAGTGGGCCTAGGTTTGGGACCTTGGGTTTTGTCTTAGGAACCCATATTAAATTCATATTTTATTAATAATAAAATAAGTCATATGATATAACCAAATTACACGTAATTTAGTTAAATTATTGTTTCAAATATTTGAAAATAAAATTCTCTTTCTAAAATATAGAGTAAAATAACCCGATTAAAGCATAATATGATTACATATCTCTAATGCATTGTATATCCTATAATAGGTGTTACTCTGGGGAGTTACTGACTGTTTATATCTATTATTTTCATTTAAACAGGATATTTGGATCAGTTTGTGCGCACCTCAATTAATTTCTGTAAGTGATTAACACAACATCTTACTGTTATGATCACTTGCTTAAATATTAACATCAAATAAGTTTTTAGTGAAATAATATTTGATGTTCGTTTTTTCAGCGAATTACGATAAACTTTTATATTTAATTTTAATATTTACTACCCTCGAGGTCATTTTGGTTAAATTTAGAGTAATGATACATCCACAACCTCCTCACAAACTTTCTCTCACAATCCCAACATGACAGCTCGCAGTTAATCAACTGCAATTCATCAAGTGGGACATAAGTGAGACCTATTACAAACTGAGAGCTGTCACATCGGGATTGTGAGAGAAAGTTTGTGAGAAGAGGTTGCGGGTATAGCATTTTCCTTAGATTAAATAGAAGACAAAGAGAAAGAGCTTGCAATAAACTCAATTTTATTAACAAAAGCTAGGTCCATGGAATAACTTTTTTGGTCTAAAGCTCAATTCCCTCAACAATAAGCCCGCCTTTCAAGGGCTTTTCACCGCATTATCATCATCATCATCTTCAACTTTGTAAAAGCTTCCCAATTCAATCTCAATCCATCCATCTTCACTTTCACAAGCAACCCATTACCTCCTCCTTCACGAACTCTCGATCTCAAAGGTGCAATGCGGATCCCAAAGTACAGTCTCTCCAGATATTGTTTCTTCTTACTTTCTAGGCCATTAACGCAGCGCAAATAAACTGTCCCTTATGACTTGAAATCGCCAACTTCTACAGAAAACTTAAACTTCAGACGGTAAAGAGTTTAAACCGTAAGCTCGATCAGCAAATTTGAGGATGAGATAGGCTCCATAAACTGTTTTCGGTTACAGCTTTTTGGTGCATATTTTGCCATGGATTTCTAGCCAACTTATTGTTCTGAGCTCTGCAACTTTTGCAAATCACCACAAGTACTTGAAGATATGGTTGATACAAGCTCAAATTCCTAATGTAAGAACCTTAATTTTCTCTGTTTAATGTATATATTTTTACATAAAAATATATATTAATATTATAAGGTATTTTTACGTTATCTATACATCTGCCTAATAAACATCGTAATATATGTAAATAGTAAATGAAACAGACGTATTATACCATCTATACATCTATAGATAAAGCTAACGTATCATGATATCTATATATATGTCTAATAAATATCATACTACGTAAGTATTTAATTTTCTTTTATCTAACAAATCATAATTATGATATTATCCTAATTAAAGTTGAAATTTCTTCATTGAATGGAGCATCAACCTTGATGAGGAAGGGGTTTCCAAGACCAATAAAGAGGATTTATTTGCCCATTTAATTGAAAGTTCCCTTGCACTCAACATATAAACCTTCTTGCGTAGTTGATTTCTCAAAGCAAGAAGTCTGTCCATAATTCAAATAAAGATAGTATTATACTGTCATTAATCAATTAATAAATCAACTATATGGAAAGAAATAAAGGAGAAAAGGTAAAGGAAATTAGGAATTTACAGAATACCACCCAAATTGAATTTATATAAAGGATGTATATGATCAATAAAGGAGGAAATCTGGCCATCATTTATCCTGAAATTTAATAAATATTGTGCAAATAATTTTTTAAGAATTACTCCTAACTAGCTAAGCTAAAATGTGGCATTTTTTTTTTCTTTTTTGGTGATCAGGGTGTTCGGGCAAGTTTGTATGCGCCTCGACTAAGCTCTCATGGCTGTGAAGTTAACGACTGGATAAACCCTTCAGTGGCCACCTTTATTAACAACTGAGGAGAATCAAACTCAAGACCTCTTAAATAATACACTTAAGAGTTTATATCACTACATCTAACCACCCAGAGATGGAAATGTGGCAGTTTCTTGAGGGTGAGTTTGCATCCACAGGCGGTGGAACAAATATGAATTAATCCAATGAAGCATAATTCATATTTGTTCCACCACCTGTGCATACATAAACAACCTTGAAAACGCCACATTAACTTAATTAATTATAGTCTTGAATCAAAAGGCAATTGAATATTGCATTATTCAATGTGGTAGAAATATATTATCGTATATAATCTCATTTACCAGAGAATATATATTGTTTTATCTACCAAACATGAACTGCATTATTTGCCTTTTGATATATATTTTGTCACATGTTTTAGTTTTAATATGAAATTTATCATTCTAAACTTTAAATAATTGCAATCCCAACCCCGCAAGGTACATTTCAATAATACCACTTCTTTTCTATTATATATATATATATCATGTTAATTATAGTCAATCTCTCTTAAGCTATCTTACTTTTTCAAAACTTCAGAGCCATACTTTTACCGACAATTTTATAGTACATACAAAAAATTTGACTAAAATTTAATCTTTTAATGAAAAATTTTCGACAACACCTAAAAATTTTCGATGTGAATTATGAGCTGTTAATCAGACATTGAACAAACATTGCCGTCTTATTAAAAAAATCACTTGACTTGTGGCCGAATGGCAAGACCTTAGATTACCCAGAGGTCTTGTGTTCGAGTCACACCAAGTGGTCATAACCTACCACATTTATAACTTACTTGACCCATTGTGCTTGTCGGATGTTCAATAGACGCTGATGATTAGTTTAAGGTACGCTCAAGCTAGCCCAGACACTCCGATTACCAAAAAAAAAAAAAAAGAGCCGTTAATTATAAGTAAAGTTTTGAATTGGATTTGTTTACCTTACTACCTTGGTCAATGAGATGAGAGTTCTGCATGCACAAGTCTCACTCAGGACAAAGATGGAAATTTCTGACCACCCAAATTGAATTTATATAAAGGATGTATATGATCAATAAAGGAGGAAATTTGGCCATCATTTATCCTGAAATTTAATAAATGTTGTGCAAATAATTTTTTAGAATTACTCCTAATTAGCTAAGCTAAAATGTGGCATATTTTTTTTATTTTTTGGTGACTAGGGTGTTCGGACAAGTTTGCACGTACCTCAACTAATCTCTCATAACTGTGAAGTTAACGACTGGATAAACCCTTCGGTGACCACCCCTATTAACAACTGAAGGGAATCGAACTCAAGATCTCTTGAGTAATACACTTAAGAGTTTCTATCACTCCACTTGACCATCCAGAGATGGAAATGTGGTAGTTTCTTGAGGTCGAGTTTGCATCCACAGGCGGTGGACCAAATATGAATTAATCCAATGAAGCATAATTCATATTTGCTCCACCACCTGTGCATACATAAACAACCTTGAAAACGCCACATTAACTTAATTAATTATAGTCTTGAATCAAAAGGCAATTGAATATTGCATTATTCAATGTGGTAGAAATATATTATCATATATAATCTCATTTACCAGAGAATCTGCCCAATAAAGTAAAGATTTGAGTAATCCCCCGTCACAAAAATACAAATAGAAATCATCATCACAACTGAACATATAACGAAATTACATAACTAGAAACTTAAAATCTCACTTAAAGATATGTACAATCTATTCTTCTATGATGATATAACAATGTTGTCTCATGGCCAGTCCCATGTAAAAGCAGCAACGCCACTCCAAGGCGATGGAATATGAGACCTGCCCACAGATGGAGAGCTCCGATTAGGAGGACCCTCAACATCCAGGGCATTTATTTATGACGGTTACTTAGGAATCTACAAACAACTGGTCCGCTCCAGTCAAGTATTGACTTCTTTAGAAATCCCCGTCTCATTACACAAAATTATTTATAACAGTTACAGTAATCAACAAGTACTAAACAATCAACATAAACTAAACATTCATAATTAGATTTCAATCACATGCGACACTAGTAAACTTTATTGTGTACTAACACTAAGATGTTATAACATACCATTAAGTGTATTCGTGAATACGGAATAACCACAACTAAGCCTCAGAGTGCTTGCCACAACTACGCAACAATTTAATCAAAAGTAAAACTTCCATTACAAAATGTTGTCTTACATATCTTAGACAAAACTCAAAAACAAAGGGAAGAATAGTTCCCTCAGAAAATAACAAAAGAAGTATTCTGTCATCTAATTATCAGAATTAGCATGGTCAGTAATGAAACATCACTGGGAACAGTCCCTCTCAACAACATAAGCACTTAAATCTTCACAAACAATAGAAAATCAATTCTTCTTCACACTCAATTACCAACAAAACCATGTAACAACCTCATTCAATTTTCAGATTCTGTTCACATTGTGCAACAACATACCTATCACACAAAATAAAACCAAACTAAGAAACAAGCTCAATTGTTAGCAAACAAAAGCACACTTTTTTCATTCAAGATTTCAAATAGCCCGTGAAGGAACATTCAAGCATCCAATTTCCCTCAGAAAGGTAAATCTTTCAGTCATAAAACAATCAATCTACTTAGCATGATTATTTGAACCATCACAGGGAACAAATATGAAACAACCCAAGGAAGAATACAAAATAAAAATACCCAGATACAGAGACACATCAAATCATATAATACAACAAAATTAAAAGCACAAACAGTTCATGGAACTGTTAAAAAAAAAAAAAAAAAGATGTTGCTCAGATAAATGTTGGAAAGAGTCTATTCCCTGACCTTCGACTAACAAAGGCCTCATAATGAGCTGGGATATCATTTATCATCATTGATATAATAGCACACCAGAATTAAACACCTAAACCTAATCATAGCTACAAAACCACACATCAAATGAATTGAAATCAAACACAAAAGTTGAAACTTTATGAACAAATGAAGGAAGAGAGGGTATTCAGGAGAGAAAGAGCAAAAGAGAGAGTGATGGCTTGGCCGCTAAGGGCAGAATGCTGACGGTGAGAAGGTCACTCAGGGTTTTTAATAATATGCAGGGCTATGGTTTTAGTTCTAGAGTTAGCGGAAAATGGTTTATTTACATAATGACCCTGAACTTTGAGTATTTATTACTATTTTTGTGTAGGGATGTGGATTCTCTGTGGGCCTTGCATTGGCTCGCCCGGAAAAGGCTTTCACTCGCCAATAGTGGGCCTAGGTTTGGGACCTTGGGTTCTATCTTATAGGAACCCATATTAAATTCATATTTATTAATAATAAATAGTCATATGATAAACCAAATTACAACCGTAATTTTAGTTAAATTATTTTTTCAAATATTTGAAAAATAAATTCTCTTTCTAAATATGAGTAAATAACTAACCATTAAAGCATAATATGATTCCATACTCTAATGCATTGTATATCCTATAATAGGTGTTACCTGGGGAGTTACTGCTGTTTATCTATTATTTCATTTAAACAGGATATTTGGATCAGTTTGTGCGCACCCTCATTATTTCTGTAAGTGATTAACACACATCTTACGTTGTTTGATCACTTGCTTAAATATTAACATCAAATAAGTTTTTAGGTGAAATAATTTTGATGTTCGTTTTTTCAGCGAATTACGATAAACTTTTATATTTATTTTAATATTTACTACCCTCGGGGTCATTTTGGTTAAATTTAGAGTAATGATACATCCACAACCTCCTCACAAACTTTCTCACAATCCCAACATGACAGCTCGCAGTTAATCAACTGCAATTCATCAGTGGGACATAAGTGAGACCTATTACAAACTGAATAGTTGTCACATCGGATGTGTGTGAGAGAAGTTTGTGAAGAGGTTGGCGGTATAGCATTTTCCTTAGATTAAATAGAAGACAAAGAGAAAGAGCTTGCAATAAACTCAATTTTATTAACAAAAGTCGGTCCATGAATACTTTTTTGGTCAAAGCTCAATTCCCTCAACACATAAGCCCCCTTTCAAGGGCTTTTCACCGCATTATCATCATCATCATCTTCAACTTGTAAAAGCTTCCCAATTCAATCTCAATCCACCATCTTCACGTTCTCAAGCAACCCTTTACCTCCCTCTTCACGAACTCTTGATCTCAAAGCTGCAATGGGGATCCCAAAGTACAGTCTCTCCAGATATTGTTTCTTCTTACTTTCTAGGCCATTAACGCAGCGCAATAAACTGTCCCTTATGACTTGAAATCGCCACTTCTACAGAAAACTAAACTTCAACGGTAAAGAGTTTTAAACCGTAGCTCGATCAGCAATTTGAGGATGAGATAGGCTCCATAAACTGTTTTCGGTTACAGCTTTTTGGTGCATATTTTGCCATGCATTTCTGTCCCATGATTTAATATGTAATCTCCATGATCTAGAGGATATTATTAATAACCCCTTTTTACAAGATGATAATTCTTTATTAATTTGATGATGAACTTAAAAAGATTGCAAATTAGTAGGCTTGATTTGGAGGAGTTGTGGGTTAAAGTTTTTTTTTTCATTTTTTGGATGACCAAAGTTGTCCGGACGTACTTTCACTAATCCTTTGAAATCTTAAAGTTAATGACTAAGTAAATCCCATTAATGATCACCTCTATTAAAGTACGTAGAAACTCAAACTCAAGAACCTAGTTAAACCATTTTTTTTTTTTTTTTTTTTTCAGTTTACCGTTAGACCATTCCGCGGTAGTTGTGGATTACAGGGTGGTTGTCCATGATTTCCTCCAAAAAAGAAGACAGACTTGATGATTATATTCTTTGATTAAGCAAGATTTCTTTATCATTTGACGAATTTTGAAGGGAATTTCTCAATCAAAGACAAAAAGACAAAGCAATCCCATCTCATTTCCAGCACCTTTCTGAGAGAATATAATGCACAATACTGTTCATGCGCAAACAAAGTGCTTATTCCTTTTGCTCATATTCCAGAAATCTGAAAGATAACACTGTATAGAACAATCTGGGAAAATAGTTTAAGATGGTGGCACAGAGCATTACAGACAAAATCCTTTCACTGACTTCAACTTCTGCAACATGGATTTATTCATTAACAAGGCATTTTTCCATTCATAAATAACGATTCAAACGTATCTGATACACAGTGACTCCAGGAAGTAGGTGCACTATGACAACCTGCTTTGACATAGTTTATCTTTGACAAAATTTCATTCCATGGCCAACAACATTGACAAAAAGTTACATTTGATTGATACAAGCTGTGTTTTACTAAAGAATGTACAACTTTGATGTGTAAATAGTAAATGAGAAGCTATGAAGTGTGAAAAGAAGCCTTCATCTTGGCATCAATGGAAGAAAAAGGTCCTAAATATTCTAAATTCCTGGAAAAAAATAGATTCAGAGAAAAGCATGAAGGAGAGAGTAAGTTTAAAATATATTATATGTTAGTTGACGATACTCATACCAGATGCATAATCGAAACTGTTGTTAATATAATTACTAGGGTCCAAAAGAGCCATATAAAAACCATAAACTGAACTTTCTTCCCCTTCTAAAATAAGATGTGAACAAAATCCAAAGATATTTATACAGCAATCAAATTTGCAGCTGGATCAAGGATGAGTAAATTAATTCACTGACTATTGCTTGAGATTTATAACAATACGTTCAAGAATTAAAAGCATATAAAAAGCAAAATATTTTGATGGTATTCAGCAGGAATCTGATTAATGCAGAATTGCAGAATGTCAAATAAATAACATTAGAGCCTCAGAATTGCAGAATGTCAGCAAGGCTTAACAAGCCACTCAGTCCCGAAAGATGGTATTTTGTGAATGATATCCTCCTAGGCCACATTTCTCAACACCAAAAGACTGAAACAGATACAAGGAAAATACTAATCTTACTACCAGTCCTATATGAAAGGAGAAAATTAATACAAGAAAGTAAAGCAAAACAAACAAATGGCCTCAGAATTGCAGAATGTCACCAAGGCTAAACAAGCCATTCAGTCCCGAAAGATGGTGTATTTTATGAATGATTTCCTCCTTGGCCACATTTCTTCTACACAAAAAGATAAAAAATAGAAAATTGCAGAGAAAATGTTTGTCTCATGGCCAGTCCCAAATGGTAAAGGCAACAACGCTGCTCCACAAGGCGATGGAATATGAGACCACCCATCAACGGAGGAGCTCCCCAGAGGGAGGACCATCAACGTCAATGGACATTTATCTGTGACGTTTACTTTGGAATGTACATACATAACTGGTTTGCCCCATATAAGTAAAGGATTTGAGTAATCCCCCGTCACAAAAAATACAAATAGAATCATCATCACAACTGAAACATATAACAGAAATTACATAACTAGAACAGTAAAATATCACATTAAAGAATATGTAAAAATCTATCTTCTATGATGATATAACAATGTAGTTCTCATGGCCAGTCCCAAATGGTAAAAGCAGCAACGCACTCCACAAGGCGATGGATATGAGACTGCCCACAGATGGAGGAGCTCGATAAGGAGGACCATCAACATCCAGGGCATTTATTATGACGGTTACTTAGGAATCTACAAAACAGAACTGGTCCGTCCAGTCAAGTATTGGACTCTTTAGAAATCCCCGTCTCATTACACAAAATTATTATTAAACAGTTACAGTAATCAACAAGTACTAAGCAATCAACATAAACTAAACATTCATATTAATTGTCAATCACAATGCGCGACACTAGTAAACTTTATTGTGTAACACTAAGATGTTTAACATACCATTAAGTGTATTCGTGAAACAGGAATAACCACAACTAAGCCTCAGAGTGCTTGCCACAACTACGCAACAAATTTAATCAAAAGTAAAACTTCCATTACAAAATGTTGTCTTACATAATCTTAGACAAACTCAAAAACAAAAGGAAGAAATAGTCCTCAGAAAATAACAAAAGAAGTATTCTGTCATCTAATTATCAGAAGTTAGCATGGTCAGTAATGAAACATCACTGGGAACAGCCTCTCAAAACAAAATAAGCACTTAAATCTTCCAACAAATAGAAAAATCAATTCTTTTCACACTCAATTACCACAAAACCATGTAACAACATACATTTCAATTGTTCAGATTCTGTTCACATTGTGCACAAACATACCTATCACACCAAAAATAAACCAAAACTAAGAAACAAGATCAATTGTTAGCAAACAAAAGCAAACTTTTTTCAAGATTTCAAAAAGCCGTGAAGGAACATTCAAAGCATCCAATTTCCCTCAGAAAAAGGTAAATCTTTCAGTCATAACAAAACAATCAGCTCATTAGCATGATTATTTGAACCATCCAGGGAACAATATGAAACAAACCCAGAGGAAGAAATACAAAATAAAAAATACCCAGATACAGAGACACATCAAATCATATATAAAAAAATTAAAAGCACAAAAGTTCATGGAAACTGTTAAAAAAAAAAAAAAAAAATGTGACCAAGATAAATGTGGGGAAGAGTCTATTCCCTGACCTTCGACTAACAAAGGCCTCATATGAGCGGGATATGCATTTATCATCATTGATATAATAGACACACAGAATAAACCCTAAAACCTAATCAGAGCTACAAAACCAAACATCAAATGAATTGAAATCAAAACACAAAAAGTTGAAACTTTATGAACAAATGAAGGAAGAGAGGTGATTCAGAGAGAAAGAGCAAAAGAGAGAGTGATGGCTGGGCCGCTTAAGGGCGCAGAATGCTGACGGTGAGAAGGTCACTCAGGGGTTTTATAAGAGGAGGGCTAGGGTTTTAGTTCTAGAGTTCGCGGAAAATGGTTTATACATAATGACCCTGAACTTGAGTTATTTTACAATTTTGTGGTAGGATGTGGGATTCTCTGTGGGCCTTGCTCATGGGCTGCCCAGAGAAAGGCTTTCCATCGACAATAGTGGGCCTAGGTTGGGACCTTGGGTTCTATCGTAGGAACCATATTAAATTCATATTGTTATTAATAATAAATAGTCATATGATATAACAAATTACCGTAATTAGTTAAATATTGTTTCAAATATTGAATAAAATTCTTTCTAAAATATAGAGTAAAATAACCCGATTAAAGCATAATATGATTACATATCTCTAATGCATTGTATATCCTATAAGTGTTACTCTGGGGAGTGAGTTACTGACTGTTTATATCTATTATTTTCTTTAAACAGGATATTGGATCAGTTTGTGCGCACCTCAATTATTTCTGTAAGTGATAACACAACATCTTACTGTTATGATCACTTGCTTAAATATTAACATCAAATAAGTTTTTAGTGAAATATATTTGATGTTCGTTTTTTCAGCGAATTACGATAAACTTTTATATTTATTTTAATATTTACTACCTCGAGGTCATTTTGGTTAATTAGAGTAATGATACATCCACAACCTCACACAAACTTTCTCTACAATCCCAACATGACAGCTCGCAGTTAATCAACTGCAATTCATCAAGTGGACATAAGTGAGACCTATTACAAACTGAGAGCTGTCACAGCGGGATGTGAGAGAAGTTGTGAGAAGAGGTTGCGGGTATAGCATTTCCTTAGATTAAATAGAAGACAAAGAGAAAGAGCTTGCAATAAACTCCATTTTATTAACAAAAGCTAGGTCCTGGATAAACTTTTTTGGTCTAAAGCCTCACATTCCCTCAACAATAAGCCCGCTTTCAAGGGCTTTCACCGCATTATCATCATCATCATCTTCAACTTTGTAAAAGCTTCCCAATTCAATCTCCAGCATCACATCTTACGTTCTCAAGCAACCTTTACTCCTCCTTCACGAACTCTGTGTCTCAAAGGCAATGCGGATCCCAAAGTACAGTCTCTCAAGATTGTTCTTCTACTTTCTAGGCCATTAACGCGCGCAAATAAACTGTCCCTTATGACTTGAAATCGCCACTTCTACAGAAAACTTAACAAATTCAGACGGTAAAGAGTTTAAACCGTAAGCTCGATCAGCAATTTGAGGATGAGATAGGCTCCATAAACTGTTTTCGGTTACAGTTTTGGTGCATATTTTGCCAGCATTCTAGCCAACTTTTGTTCTGAGCTCTGCCACCTTCTGCAAATCACAAAAAGTACTTGAAGATATGGTTGATACAAGCTCAAATTCCTAATGTAAGACCTGAATTTTCTCTGTTTAATGTATATACTTTTACAGAAAATATATATAATTTTATAGGTATTTTCGTTATCTATACATCTGCCTAATAAACATCGTAATATAGGTAAATAGTAAATGAAACAGAGGTATTATATAATATACATTTATAGTAAGCTAACGTATCATGATATCTATTATATGTCTAATTAATATCATACTACGTAAGTATTTAATTTCTTTATCTAACAAATCTAATTTGATATTATCCTAATTAAAGTGAAATTTTTCATTGAATGCGCAGCATCAACCTTGATGAGGAAGGGGTTTTCCAAGACCAATAAAGAGGATATTTGCCATTTAATTGAAAGTTCCCTTGCACTCAACATATAAACCTTCTTGCGTAGTTGATTTCTAAAGCAAGAAGTTGTCCCTAATTCAAATAAAGTAGTATTATACTGTCATTAATCAATTAATAATCAACTATATGGAAAGAAATAAAGGGAAAAGGTAAAGGAAATAGGAATTACAGAATACCACCCAATTGATTATAAAAGGAGTATATGATCAATAAAGGGGGAAATCTGGCAATCTTTATCTGAAATTAATAATATTGTGCAAATAATTTTTTAAGAATTACCCTAACTAGCTAAGCTAAAATGTGGCATTTTTTTTTCTTTTTTGGTGATCAGGGTGTTGGGAAGTTGTATGCGCCTCGACTAAGCTCTCATGTGGCTGTGAAGTTAACGACTGGATAAACCCTTCAGTGGCCACCTTTATTAACAACTGAGGAGAATCAAACTCAAGACCTCTTAAATAATACATTAAGAGTATAATTCATACATCTAACCACCCGAGATGGAAATTGGCAGTTTCTTGAGGGTGGTTTGCTATCCACAGGCTGGTGGAACAAATATGAATTAATCCAATGAAGCATAATTCATATTTGTTCCACCACCTGTGCATACATAAACAACCTTGAAAATGTCACATTAAACTTAATTAATTGTAGTCTTGAATCAAAAGGCAATTGAATATTGCATTATCAATGTGGTAGAATATATTATCGTATAATATCCATACCAGAGAAATATATTGTTTATCTCCCAACAATGAACTGCATTATTGCCTTTTGATATATATTTTGTCACATGTTTTAGTTTAATATAAATTTATCATTCTAAACTTAAATAATTGCAATCCCAACCCCGCAAGGTACATTTCAATAATACCACTTCTTTTCTATTATATATATAATATGATGTTAATTATAGTCAATCTCTCTTAAGCTATCTCTACTTTTTTCAAAACTTCAGAGCCATACTTTCACGAACAATTTATAGTACATACAAAAAATTTGAATAAAATTTAATCTTTTAATGAAAAATTTCGACAACACCTAAAAATTTTCGATGTGAATTATGAGCTGTTATAGACATTGAACAAACATTGCCGTCTTATTAAAAAAATCACTTGACTTGTGGCCGAATGGCAAGACCTTAGAATATACCAGGGTCTTTGTGTTCGAGTCACACCAAGTGGTCATAACCTACCACATTTATAACTTTTGAATTGTGCTTGTGGATGTTCAATAGACGTGATGATTAGTTAAGGTACGCCAGCTAGCCCAGACACTCCGATTACCAAAAAAAAAAAAAAAAGCCGTTATTATAAGTAAAGTTTTGAATTGGATTTGTTTACCTTACTACCTGGTCAATGAGAGGCGAGTTCTGCATGACACAGTCTCACTCAGGACAAAGATGGAATTTCTGACCACCCCAAATTGAATTATATAAAGGATGTATATGATCAATAAAGGAGGAAATTTGGCCATCATTATCCTGAAATTAATAATGTTGTGCAATAATTTTTAGAATACTCCTAATAGCTAGCTAAAATGTGGCAATTTTTTATTTTTGGTGACTGGGGTGTTCGGACAAGTTTGGCACCGTACCTCAACTAATCTCTCATAACTGTGAAGTTAACGATGGATAAACCCTTCGGTGACCACCCTATAACAACTGAAGGGAATCGAACTCAAGATCTCTTGAGTAAATCTAAAGGTTTATCACTATCCACTTGACCATCCAGAGATGGAAATGTGGTAGTTTCTGGGGCGAGTTTGCATCCACAGGCGGTGGACCAAATATGAATTAATCAATGAAGCATAATCATATTTGCTCCACCACCTGTGCATACATAAACAACCTGAAACGCACATAACTTAATAATTATAGTCTTTGAATCAAAGGCAATGAATATATGCATTATCATGTGTAGAAATATATTATCATATATTTCATTACCATAGAATATATATTCTTTTATTACACAAACATGAGCTGCATTATTTTGCCTTTTGATATATATTTTGTCACATGGTGTGTTTAATGTGAAATTATCATCCTAAACTTTAATAATGCGATCCCAACCCGCCAAGGACATTCAATAATACCACTTACTTTTCTATAATATATATATATATCATGTTAACTATAGTCAATCTCTCTTAAGCTATCTTTACTTTTTCAAAGCTTCAGAGCCATACTTTCACCGACAATTTTGATAAATATTGTGCAAATAATTGCTCCCCGCTAGCTAAGCTAAAACATGGCAGTTTTTTTTTTTTTTTTCTTTCTTGGTGACTGCGGTGTTCGGTCCAGCTTCCATGCATCTCGATAATCCCCTGTGGCTTTGAAGTTAACGACCGGATAAACCCTCCAGTGGTCACCCTTATTAACAACCGAGGGGAATCAAACTCAAAACCTCTTAAGTAATACACCTAAGAATTTCTATCACCTCATTTAACCACCCAAAGGTGGTTTAAAATATAGCAGTTTCTTGAGGGTGAGTTTGCATCCACAGGCGGTGGAACAAATATGAATTAATCCAATGAAGCATAATTCATATTTGTTCCACCTCCTGTGCATACATAAACAACCTTGAAAACGCCACATTAACTAAATTAATTATAGTCTTGAATCAAAAGGCAATTGAATATTGCATTATTCAATGTGGTAGATATGTATTATCATATATAATCTCATTTACCAGAGAATATATATTGTTTTATCTAACAAACATGAGCTGCATTATTTGCCTTTTGATTTATATTTTGTCACATGTTTTAGTTTTAATGTGAAATTTATCATTCTAAACTTTAAATAATTGCAATCCCGACCTCGCAAGGTATATTTCAATATAT